ATAATAATTCTTCTTGTAAAATTTTTTTGAATGGATAGGAAGAATTTATAATTTCAGATAATGTCTTATCCAAAAGACCATGTAAAGGAACATCATTATTTGATAGAGTTTCTATAGTCATTTGTCTCCAACCGCACATAAAATTAAACGATGCCAAAATGGACTCCTGATCTCGATGAATATGTAGAATAATACACGCATGCTTCATTTCCATTAGATCATCTTTCTTTGCTAAGAATTCACGTTGAAATTGTTCAATAATGAACTTAGCTAACTTGATACATCCAGCATTAGCGGCAGTTGCGTTACACTGAAGAATTAACATATTATCGGTTGATTCTAGCCAGAAATGTTTTACCTGTAGACGTATTATTTATATATGAATAGTAATTTTAATTTTTTTAATTTTTTTTTTTTTAAAAAAAAACTATAAATCAAAAAAAAAATGGTATCAACTTACCCGATTTGTAAGTTGAGCTTCAGCTTTGAAAGTTGATAATTTATCCTCTTGACAATTCAAATAGTCAGGTAAACAAGACTTGACATCGGTATTAATGTTGGAGAATGTGTTGACAATTACCAAGTGTCCTTTGGAATCTTCCTGATCAGCTAATAAATCTTCAAAATATTCGTAAAGACTATCATGTTTTTGTTGTAAATATACTTGTTTCCATTGTTCGATTTCGTCTTGTTCTAACATTGATTGTTCGGCTCTCACAATTCCATCAGAAGTTGCTATTGCTATTAGACGCTCCTTACATTTTATTAGAATCTCTTCATCCTTAACTTCTGGATTATTCTTTGTAGAGTCAACGACTAAACTTTGTAAAGTTTCATCTTCGTTAAAACCGATAAATAGATCTTTCTGCGTAAATTCATTATTTTGCGATTTATTTATTTCATTAACTCCAACTAAAGTTGACATGCGTCTTGCCCAGTCACCCAACTTTACTACAAGTGATTTTTGTCTAGTATTAACTACGTCATTAATTGACATTTTTTGTTTTTCAAATCGATTAAGTAGTGGAGGATCGGCAACTCGCACTTTCTTTTCATCCATGACAAGAATACATTTGAAGTTTGGAGAAACGTAACTGAGAAAATATAAAAATAAAATAAATAATTGGTTTATAATTTTGGACAATTTATACGAATGATTCATTTACTTACAGCATAGGGTTAGCGTATGCTCCGAGAGCAACTCGCGTAAAATATTTGGTATTGTTTTTACCTCCAACCACAATATAATTTTGATTCCACAAATCGTAAAGACTTCCTACAATTAATATAATAATTCGTATCATTAACGATGAATTGAATCAGTAAATTAGTTTTTTTTTATTTATATATATACCGTAAATTATATCCAAATCGGTTAGAATCAATGGCCTGCCCGCTTCGACACACATCTAAAAGTAATCAGATTAATTAATATAATAAATTTAAAAATTGTTCGCAAAGAAAAGTAATGATTACCATAATTCTATTCAAAACACTATAAGAATAATCATCCTGGTCTTCAGGAAATTTCGATCCCAAAATTACAACAGGATCCAAATTGTGCCTCCTTAATTGATAGGTTAATAAATCTACTATAGAATCACTTTTACCAATAACCATTAAATGACGCGTATCACGCTCATCTAAATTTGAATCAATTAATCGCTCAATAGGAATTGGCTCGTAGAACCATGGAATGTGATTATTAAATGTTTTGAGAACGTCTCCAAAATATTTATTGCATAACTTTGCGTTATTTGTTGTTCCGCCAAAATTACGAGCTAATGCCATTTGAATATTTTCCGGCGTCATTTCGGATAATGAAAGTCGCTTGACCAACGAATAATAATCTCGAAGGCCATGGAAATTAGCCGTATCTTGTCCGTTTTCTACATAATCCGAATATGCTTTAGCTAAACTTTCTAAGGCGAGCCTTTGACCAGGTCCAATAACTTTCGTATTTAATAAACGTTCAGCGGTATCAACTAAATCGTCTAGACCAAATTGAGGTCTAGAATAATGACATAACAATTAATTAAAACTTTGAAATTTACGTGTTACGTTGTTTTTATAAGATATTACCTTTGAACAAGTAATGCACGACTACTTTTACTATTATCTAAACGCCAATTAGATATTCCAATCACTGAGACGGTAGGTCCCGCCGGATAGAGTTCTTCTAGGAAAGAGTGAGGTCCTTTAGCCGGATCCTTTGACGGACCGTTTGATTGGTTTTTCGATGGATCTTTAAATGGACTTGGTTCGAGCAAAGAGTGTAGCACCTTCAACGGATTGTAAGGACTCGTTTCAGCCAAACCGACTAAAGTAAATCCCAAATAATAAATATATATGCACTTGTATTTTGAACGAAGGAATTAACAAAGAAAACGAATAAAAGTCACCTTCATCAAGTAAAACAACACTAATAACGGGAAATTGTTTAGAAGTAGTTTCCTGATATTTGTTAGCCTTTTCAAACACTTTAATTATACCATCAGAAGTTGAAGACGTAGAGCCCTGATGTGGAATTAAGTAAACTCGCGGTAAACTTCTAAAATGCTTATCACTCGAATCGGATCCACGTAAGTTCGAACTGATAAGACGAATTGCTAAAGATTTTGATGAACTTTAAGAATTAAGTAAAATTAGAAGTGTTTAGACATTTATAATAAATGACGTGAGATAAAATAAAATTATGTATACAAACCCCGGAGCTCCTATTAAAAACAATGGAATTCTGGTTAAGATGCATACAATCATAACTAAAACATTCTCCAATAAAGCTTCATTCTTCGCTGTATTAGGTGGACATTGCATTCTGTTAATGTAATCTTCCTGTTCGTCACGAATAATTTTAGAAAACGCATCTTTTTTCAAATTTAATATTTTTTCCATTTCGCTACGATAATTTTTACGTAATTTTTGATCATATAATCGAGAATGATAACAAAGACTAAGCGCTAAAACATAAGCTCTAGTTTTTATGTTACCAGATTGCGATTGTGGTGGATATTTATGTCCCTTTTTTAAAATCGGACGATTCTCAAGTGAATTAGAAAAGAATTTCACTAATGTTATAGCTCGCTTGACATCACGCAAGCTGACACTATACGGTTCCTCAACCTCACGAATGAATTTTTGAGAGGCGAATAAGAGATTGGCAAATACAGGACTTGCCAGTTTTTTTAATTCCTTATCTACCATAATTTGAATATACTTAAATTCATCATTTTGTTTCAGAACACCATAGTCCCATACATAATCCAAAATTTGATCAGGGAGTGGTTTGACTTGATAGACAAGGTTACTTTTCTCTTCGTATTTTTTGACCTTACTTGTTAAACCAGCTTCACTTTGAGCTTTTGTACGAATACGGTAAGGATTGCAGGCAGAAAATAAACGAATATTTGGATGTATGGGTTTACCGTTAAGTATTCGATGAGATATTAAATCCGAAAGTAACCCTATATGATTACAAGTGTTGATTTCATCAAAAAATAACCAAATCTCGCTATTCACTGCCTTTTCCAAAGCACTATTCATAAACTCCATAATAGTTTCTTCTTTAACTCCAGCATGAAGATTAAGAGCTTCAAATTTAACTTCAACCATATTGGCTAAATATGCAATTAAACTTGTCTAAAAAAAAATTAAAATTTGTGTAAGAACAAATATTTTATACAGTATACAAATTTTTTATTAAAAAAAAATTCACCTTGCCACATCCCGCTTCTCCACAAACTATGACCGGAATATTCGCACGTGCTCTTAAAAGAATTAGGGCCATCTTTATTAAATTATCTCCAGACAATGCGTATTCAGGAAAATCCTTTTTTTCCGTTGATCTTCGTGCCAAAAATTGTAGTTTTTCTAAGAGAGCATTCGCAGTCATTTTATTATAATCATCTAATTGCCATTGTTTTTTATCTCCGATCACTTGACTACTTAATAAAATCTTAACATTATTAGGAACTTTTGTTCTGTCACGATACAAAGCTGATATCGTATCTGGGGTTTGAGAATTAAAGACTACTATAAGATGATTTGAATCGTCCCATTGAACAATCGTTCCAAGACGAGCATTCTCATCATCATCAGTATTAGCTTCAGATTCTAGTTGTGCAGCTTTAGTTTTGATAGATCGAGTTGCAAAATCTTTTGAGACTCCTATCAAGGTATCAACTATCAAAGATCTAATATTAGTTTCTTTTACCATCAATTTCAAATTATCTACAGTAAAAAATTGACTTGATGATAATCGAACTAATTGATCCGCAAGAACATTAACAAATACTTCCACGAATCTATATGAAAAGATACCCTCGGTATTTTTGTTAAAGAAATATTTATCTATAAGATTTTGGCAACGCACTAACGGTAACGGCTCTTTGATTGCATCATCCGTTCGAAAAAGGATTTCCTTTGTATCTATTTCCATGCTTTCATAAAAATTCAAATAATGACAGACAACTTGAATTGGACTATGAATTTCTTGAGAAATCTTCAAATTGTTTATATTCCAAGATAAATGTTCGGACAATAGAAATCCTACCATAGGAAGAGAACTACGTAAACGTTGTTCAGTAGTGGAGGCTATTTCGATAAAAATGTGTATAGGCGTTTCTGAGAATGGAAGACAAGCTATATCGACATTTGTTGAAACTATGCCTAAGGTTAATAGCTCGAATAAAAACATATTGACATCTTCAGGATGGTCCGATGATACTATATTTATATGTAGACTTTCTACGGATCGAAGTTTACATTTTTTGAATTGATGTACAAGTCTATTATATTCCATACCATCGCTTATTAAAAAGCTACGCGGAATTTTCTTTTTATTGTAGCTGCTTTCTTTAATCCATTCAGTTTTACCTTGTCCGGATAAGTCGGATGAGACAGCTATAACATTTTTACATAAGTCATGATAAATTTCTGTAATTGTCTCAGTGGATAAACCGTTAGTTACGTGAACATCTAAGGAGAATTGATCTAAGATATGATGGTGCATTCCAGCTTCTCTACAACAAATAAGTGCCAAAAGATATTTTCCCTTTTGATTTCGCATCGATCTAATTTGATTAACCAAACTATATTGTAATTCAAAGTCTAATAATTCTAGGTTTGCAATACAGAATAAGTGATTCTCATATCCATTATTTGAAGCAAAAAAACTTCTTTTAATGAAAATTGTGAGTTCTTCAATCGTAGTTGAAGAGGTGCATATTAAAAGTTGCCATGGTTCCGGGTAAGATCCATGATTAGCAAATAACGACATGATGATATTTGAAACTAATGATGTGTTGTTGCAAGCCGCAACGAATAATTTACCCTTCGTAACGATATCCGACTTTACGTGTTCTCCAAGAGCTTTAAGCTTACGTGATTGTTTTGGAACATTTTTAAAAATTCTTTCTAATTCATTACCAATTATACAAAGAATTTCAAGATAATCATTAGATTCATGTGATATCTTTTGGACACCCTCTCGAGGAGGTAACTTGGCTTTGCTGTTAACAAATCTAATCAATATTTTGCATTCTTCTTCATTTTCTTTATCTAACTTGTCTGATGTGAAATAATCGTAGAATGCTAAAATGTGACGAGAAGGGAAAAATGTTAAATAGTAACATCTCTCCTGTGCTTTATCCACTATTTCTTTCCTATAAATTTGTAAATTATAAAGCTCTTCAAAAATTCATAAATAAAATAAAAAGCATTCTAAAATTGAATATATTTACCATTCGTCAAGTTCATTTTTTAAACTTTTTAAGTAATTTCTCATACTTTCTGTACCATGTAATCTTTGTTCAAATATTCTATAACCAAAATGTCCCATTTGGATCAACACTGATCCCACATTAAAAATTTCTTGGGCGATATCAACTTGTACAATAAAATCGTCTATAATGTTGGACATTTCCTCATCTTTATCATTTACTACACCATCATCATTTATCCTAACCGTAGTTTTTGGTTTGGCAATTAAAAGAGCTCGTCCACGTAAATCAAAAATTTCATTTAAATTATACTGCATATTAGTTTTAGAGGTATATTCCAATAGTACTTGACATTTATCTCCCTCCTTTTCATCGCGTTTAAAAGTATAAATTCCATTTTTTACGGCATTCTTAATCTTTTCCTTAGTAACTTCTCCACGGTTCGAAATGCTATTGTACATGTTTTGTAATGCCATATTGCTATTACTACATAACGAGATCTTGTCTCCTAGTGTGGGATTGGTCTTAATAAGATTTAATAATACATTCAAAACATCGGCAACAGTGTCCGTTTTTTTTTCCATGAGAGGCATTAAAAATTGCTTGACTTGAATAAGCGACGTTACCGTATCCTCTTGAATCAATTTTTCATCCGAGTGATCATCTACACCATTAATCAAATTCGTAATATCATGATCGGCAATATTCTTTAAGAAGTCGATAAAATTATCAGCATTTGATAATTCTGTTATCAATTTCCAACAATTTTCATTAACCGTAGAAAGGTTTTTATCTAAGAATTCAAAAATACTATTTATTTGCCCAAGTTCCACGCCACAATCCTCATCTTTTAAAAGGCGAATTGATTTCAATAGCCAATCTTCTTTCTCTTTATTACGTGTTACATTGAAAATACATGCAACCTTTTCTAACTGTTCAAGTCGTTCAATCCAGTGAGGAATTTTTGATAGATGATCAAGTGTCTTTATAAACTTATCGGTTTGACGATTATAACCCATTAATTCAAGTTCCTTATTAACATTCGTAACATTTTTCCAATACAAAGAGGTATCTGAACTTTTGAGTTTTTCCCAATCCCTAAATTGTTCAACTAATGCAGCGTATCTTTCAAAAACAATCGGCATCAATTTTTGCGCTATATATTCCACTTTGGTTGCAGCATCTTCCTGGTAACAAACTTCAAAGATATTTAAAAAAGTTTGAGATTGATGATATTTGTAACAACGTCTCGCGCTGTCTAACGTTTTTTTATGGAACGCCCAAAAATCTGGTGCAATTGCTTGATTCAAATTTATTCCATCTGAAAATTGCAATTGTTGTATATAATCATCTATATCATGAGCAGACGAACAAAATCTTCCATAAAACTTGAAAAGCATATCGAATTGAAGTTGAAAACTATTACAAAACCCTCTAAGTTTCGCAATCTCGTCTCGCGAGACGATCACATCACTTAAATATCTCTTTTTGCCAACAGTTGCATCAAAATGAGAAAATAATTCATCATTGGAATATTTTAAAAGTTGTTGTAACAATCTTATATCAATTGTTTTTTTAAGGAGTAATCCGCCAAGTTCGTTTATAGACGCTTTAATACGCTGGACGAATGGGTTTGAATGAAGTTTTTCAACATTTCCAGTAGCGCATAATAAAATCTTCCAAAATTTACTAGCTTTTAAAACGTTTAAAGGAATTTCCGAAGATGTAAAAGATTGGCTTTGCAATCTAATCATTATATGACATAAAATCTCTTCGCTCATCCTAACAATAATAAAAATAAAAAATTAGTAATCTTCGTGTTTAAGAATTAATGAAGTCAATAATGGATGAAAAACTTACGGATTTGGAACATTTAAAATTTTGTTTCTTTTATTGCAATCGCAAATTATAAATAATTTATCAATTAACTGATCATCAATTTGTTGAACGCTCTTGTTTAATATTTCTTTTATCATCTCTAAAAATAATTTTTTGAATTCCATGCGCTGTATCTTCAATATTAATTTTGTTGTGGCAAATATTTGAGTTTCTGAACATCCCTTCACTCTTTTTATAGCAATGGAGGTTATATCTCGCCAAAGGTTCATCCTTTGACCAAGCAAAGGATACATTCGTTCTAATTGTTGAAATACTAAAAAAATAAAGTTACTATCACTACTCTCATTTGAAGCACTTTTCTTACTTGTACCCAGCTTGGTCAAAAAATTTGTAAACCAAGTTACACAAATAATTGGTATCTTTTTCTTAGAATCAGAAAATTCCCTTCGAAACCAATCATCCAAAATTTCCGGAAAGATATTCAATAATTCAAAATGATTAGATTTAGATATTAGTTCCAATGACATTATGGCGTCATCACTGCGCCATTTCAGGTTACCATTTCGAAGCAAGTTCTGTATAGCAAAAGTATTTGGATTTGTCCACTTGCTACTTGGACTTTTAAGTAAAAAAAAGACCCGATCACGGAAAACGCTAGAAACATTTTCTCGGCAATTTTTAGGGATATCTTTAAAATGGTTTCCTAAAGCAACAGCATCATCACTTGAAATATTCTCTTGAACTCGATCGATGAAACACTTGAGAAGATTTTTATCGGACACGTCACGACACGAAAGTACATCACTCCAAAGTTTAATAAGTCCGTCCATATCATGACATAATTGAATTAACCACTAATAAAATTAATATAAGTTAATAACTACATTTTCTTACTTCTCGAGAAAATAATTATATTCAATTACCTTGGCAAGTTTGGTGTAAGTTTCAAACTTTTGTTTGTCAATATAAGGCATAAGTTTTTTAACTTCATTAATAAGTTTTGTTAATAAATTGTAATTAGGATACTTTAATGCTCTTAAACGGTCAATGAAATTATAATTAGGGTCGACTTCTGCAGCAATTGTAAAAATGTTGAGCCAATCAAATTTCATCTTAAAAGCGTTATTTTGGACTAAAGTTGTAATGGCATTATAAATTTGATCCTCTGTAGCTGTAGGTAGGGTTTCTTTCGTATATCCCTTGAAGGCATCAAGCAATATTTCGGATGGAAAGTCTTTTGCTAATTCATAAAACGCGTTTTGCCTTTGAATATGGTACCCCAAGAGGAGACATAAAAAGAGTCGTTTTGTTCTTGATTCATCATCAATGTGTTTGAAAATAAATTTGATATCTGACGCACGAATCGTAAGTTCGCGGTAGGCAGTTAATAAATGTTGATATTCCATAACTTTTTCTTTAAGGTTTTCAACTTCGATAGAATCATAAATATAATCTACAAAGGCATAGTCGCGTATAGCGTCGAAATATAAACTACATCGTAATTCACGAGTATTTTTCCATATGCCGAATTGATCATTTCTACTAGTTTCTAGCGTACGATTATCTTGAGTACCATTTCCTTCGTATATAATTTTTCCTCCTTTTACAAAATAACTAGGTGCAAAAATAGCATATTTATATTGAATATCTTGAGCGAAATTTGATATTGAAATAGTAACCGGACTAGTATGCCAGTATGTTGGATTACGAGATTTTTGAAAAAGTTTGATAATGGGATTTTTCCAAGAACCTAATTCTTTTACACTACCAATAACCATGGGATGTCCACAATCTTTAATATTTTCTGGTAAATGAACATGAAATATAAAATTGATTTCACGATCATCTTTGTTAAATAAACCACCTACGAAGTTACGCACATTACTCAACACACCACCGCTAACAGAAGATTGTGATGATCCCATGCCTTTTCCCTTATTACTACTACTTTGAGGTTTATAACTATTATCTGAAGACAATCTGTTATCGCTATCGAGATTACTAGGATTGGAATCCTTTTTATAAGTTTTGTTGCTAATCTTCATTTGCTTTTGAGATTGATCAGAATATCGACGAGTATCAAATGAATTATCTTGATTACTATTCACGTGTTTTGAATATGCCGAGATGTCTTGAGACATTACCTTGTCTTGATGAGTTTCATAAAGTAACTTATCTTTTTTCTTATCGTGCTCAGAGACTTTTTCAGTTAAGCTATAATCTTGTTTATATGGAATGTTGTCTTGAGATTCTAAATGTCCGAATTCTTTTTCAGATGAGATATCTTCATTATCGTGCTGAGAATATGGATTATTGTCATGAGAATCTATCCCATGTTCAAATCCTTCTTCATATAAATTATCTTGATTATTATCATGAGATTCTAAATTATATTCCAATTCTTCTTCAGATGCGTTACCTTTATTATAATTTAACTCATGCCCAAAGTCTTCTAAGTTATCATTCTTACTATGGTCTTCATCAGATTCGTTATCTTCGGGTTGTAAATATTTTCCCTGAGATTCTAACCTATGTCCAAAGTCTACAAAAGCGTCATCATCTTGCTTCCTACTAATACGATGTGGATGTGAGAGGTTATCTTGAGATCCTCCAAATCCTTGACGAGTGTCATCGGATGAGATATTTTGCATACTATTATTGCGATGAGATCCTAACCCATACCCAAGACCTTGACGAGTATCATCAGATAAGTTATCTTGTTTCTTACGATGTGGGTATGTAAGGTTATCTTGAGATCCTAACCCAAGTCCAAAACTTTGACGAGTGTCATCGGATGAGCTATCTTGCCTATTATTATTGAGTTGAAGGTTTTGAGATCCTAATCCATGCCCAAAACCTTGACGAGTATCATCAGCTAAAGAATCTCGCTTATTTTTATTGCCTTGAAGGTTATCTTGAGTCTCTAACCCATATCTAATGTCACGACGAGTGTCATCAACAAAATCACCTTTCTTCGG